TCTATCTATCTATCTATCTATCTATCTATCTATCTATCTATCTATATCCATCCATCCATCCATCCATCCATCCATCCATCCATCCATCATCTATCCATACCTATATCTATCTATCATCTATCTATCCATCTATCTTTAAAAAAGATGGCTAAAAGGAGAATCCTTCCCTTTGCAGATCTTCCCACTTATCTCCCAGTCCCGGCGGCTAGTGAAACATGGAGAACTTACAGCTCTGGAATACAATATCAGCTTGAAATGGAAACTTACCACCCGGCCCATCTATCTCCACCTCTTCAATGATTACCTCCTCCTATCTCGACCTAGGGAGTAAGTTTGGGGGGGCTGGGTCTCTGAAGAATCCAGGGCCGTTTGAACTCATCGAAGAGGATCAAAGAAGAAAGGTTCTGGGCAGTGGTGGGATTCAATTTTTTTTACTGCTGGTTTTGTGGGCGTGGCTTGGTGGGCGTGGCTTGGTGGGCGTGGCAGGGGAAAGATACTGCAAAATCCCCATTCCCTCCCCACCCCAATAACCTGCTTTCCAGCTCTGTTCTCCTGTGCAGGGCAACCAAAGAAGAGCCAGCCAATCAGCTGGGACTCAATGGGAGGCGGAGAATAGATGGGGGCGGGGCCAGTCAAAGGTGGGATTTGCCAGTTCTCCAAACTACTCAAAATGTCTGCTACCAGTTCTCCAGAACTGGTCAGAACCTGCTGAATACCACCTCTAGTTTTGGGTCTCACTGCACCTTCAGATGTTCTTCTTCTCAATAAGATAGATGGCTGCAGAGATGTCTCTGTGGCCTCTTGAAAGAAAAACGTGGTTAGTCTTTTTACCGGCCCTCATGAGGACATGCAAGATCTTTGGCTCATTGCTTTTTTTCTTACACATCTGACCTAGGAAGAAAGACCCTGATTGAAAGCAGATGAATGGGATAGAACAGAATGACAAGAGTTGGGAGGGGCCTTGGAGGTCTTCTAGTCCAACCCCCTGTTCAAGCAGGAGATCCTATACTGTTTCAGACAGATGGTTGTCCAGTCTCTTCTTGAAAGCCTCTGTGATGACCCGAGGCATGAAACAAAAATAACCAAGTCACAAAAATAGACGAAAGTCCCTTGAATGCCTCCAACTCGGCCCCAATGTCCAATTATCCTCGGCTGGATATCAAACTCTTAAAGAAAACAGTTTACGGAGGGAGTAAATGCAGTCCACAACCAAAGTAAAGTTAATGTGAAATAAAAAACCCAACCCAAACCACACTGAAGGAATTAGTACAGCAGGCAAGGATGATTAATTGCAGACTTCTACCAGATAAGCAGCCACCAGTTGGGAGGAAGCCAAAACACAGATAAGCTCCGACAAGAATAATGCACGCTTTGCTACCAGCACTGGGCCATGCGCAGTTTGTCCTTTTAAACAGTCCTCACAGCTACAGCCCATGAAGGGGATCAGGGCCCCTTCCTCCCCCATAGACCGTGCCCTCACATTTCTCCCTTATCTGCTCCTCCCTGCGTTCCCTAGAATGAAGAGGGGGTGGGCCTGGGTCTTCCTCTGACTGCTCAGCCGGCCTCTGCCCTTCCCCAGCCTCATCCACAACCACTGGAGCCACACTCCCACTCCCTGTCAGCTGTTCCTCCTCTCCCTCAGAGTCAGACTCCAACAGGGGCATGACACCCTTCAGCGATGGAGCACCCACAACTTCTGAAGTCAAGATGATCCACTGAAATGGCTTTCTAGAGGAAAAAAATTGGAACAATTTGTGCTACTCAGGTGTCCCTGAGTACACAGATAAACTTCCAAGTGGCCTCAACAACCCTCTAAAAGGATGCAAATGACCAGATGTCTGCAAGGAATATAAATCCTTCCATTATCCATTATCCTGTCAGAGCTGAAGAAGCTTCTTGGATGAGAAGTGAAATGTCTTCAAAAGAAGAAAAACCAGAGAGTCCAGTTGCCTCCTTGAAAAAGCACCTTTGGTGCAGATTTCCTGCTTGATGAAGGGGTTGGACTAGAAGACCTCCAAGGTCCCTTCCAACTCTGTTATTCCATTGTGTTATTCTCTTTAGAGGAAACCAGTATAGTTCTTTCTGTATTCTCCTGCAAGAAGAAGAAGACGAATGAAATAATCCTGGCCCAGAGCAGTGAATATTGACTTTTGTGTTGTTCCCACCCCTCTCTCTCTCCCTGGCAGGAATGGGCGTTTCATTGTGTTCGATCATGCGGCCTCCTCAGATGTGCGTGGGGAAAAGTGTGAAATGAAACTCCACGGCGACAACAAGAACCTTTTCCGCCTTTTCCTGCTGCAGAACAATCAGGGGAAGAAAGTGGAATTCCTCTTCCGCACAGAAACTCAGTAAGGCTGGCAGGGAGAAACTCTAGGCAGCCCAGCTCAGTTTTACAGTTTTACAATTTTAGCAATGGGTTCTCTGCCCAGTTGCTGGGTGGGCGTGGCCATGGTGGGCGTGGTCTAGTCGGCCTCCTGCACCACGGTGTGGGGGGTGGCGTTTTTGCCCTCTCTGGGCTCCGGAGGCTTTTCAGGAGGCCGAAAAAAAAGCCTCCCCTGGCTTCGGAGGCTCTCTGGAAGCCAGAAACAGGCCCATTTCTGGCCTTCCCGAACTTCCGGGAGGCCCATTTTTCACTCTTCCTGAGCCTCTGTGTGGGCCCTGCACTTACCTGCATCCAAAACGGGCCGTGTGGGGACTCCGGGGAGGGGAGCAGTGGGCAAGGCCAGCCAGGAATGGACTTTGGGGGTTCTCCGAACTTCACAGAATTTTAGCTTAGGGGATCTCCCGCGGACCCCCAGCAGCCCACTCCCAAGAAGCTGGTTTTCGCCACCGCCAACTCAGAAAATTGTGTCTGACATCCCTTGGCTGATGGTTTATAGCAAGGGCCTTCAAACTTGGCAAGTTTTAAGACTTGTGGACTTCAACTCCCAGAATTCCTGAGCTAATCTGACTGGAGAGGAATTCTGGGAGTTGAAGTCCACATGTCTTAAAGCTGTCAAGTTTGAAGGCCCCTGATCGATCGATCTATCTTATCTATCTCTATCTATCTGTCTGTCTATCTATATCAAGGGTCTTCAAACTTGGCAAGTTTAAGACTTGTGGACTTCAACTCCCAGAATTCCTGAGCTAACCTGACTGGAGGAGGAATTCTGTCAGTGGGAACAGCTGGTGTCCACAAGTCTTAAAGCTGTCAAGTTTGAAGAGCCCTGGCTTATAGTGTAGCATGACCTGTGAATGCATCGCAGTGTGGCTGATATAACAAGGCATGTTTTAGTGCAGCACAAGGAACCACGTCGTAGTATGTTTCCAGTGAAGGGACAGAGCGTCTGAGGTCTTGCCACCTGATCGCATTCTTTGTTTTTCCTAGGAGCGAGAAACTGCGATGGATTTCTGCTCTTATGCCCCAACAGCCTGAACCTGACCTGTTGGATGATTCTGGTAAGAAAGCAGCTCAGGACACAAGTAAAGCCAATAAAGGAGAATATTGGTAGCTCCGCGGTGACATGAGGCGATCCTTGGTGCCCTCTGAGCTTGCTTGGTTCCTTGCAGATGTTTCTTCACCCTAATAACTAGGTAACATCATCAGCAACGATGATGGTACCTACTTTGGGTAATGAAATGTCTTCAAGAAAACAAACAACATTAGAGACCACCAAAGACCCCACAGTCCTCCTCCTCCTCCTCCATCCACACACCCTACTCCCTTCTAGCACCGATTATGGTACATAGTTTGGGTAATGAAAGAAAATAACCAAGCTCAAAGGGCACTCTTGACCCCACAGTTTTTCTCCCCTTCCCCTCTTCTTCCCTTCCCCCACCCTCCTCCATTCCACACACCCTACTCCCTTCTAGCACTGATGATGGTACATAGTTTGGGTAATTAAGGATAATAACCAAGCTCAAAGAGCACTCTTGAACCCACAGTCTTCCTCCCCCTCCCTCTCTTCTTCCCTTCCCCCACGCTCCTCCATTCCACACACCCTACTCCCTTCTAGCACTGATGATGGTACCTAGTTTGGGTAATTAAAGATAATAACCAAGCTCAAAGAGCACTCTTGACCCCACAGTCTTCCTCCCCCTC